TCTAAAGTCGAGGCACAAAGTTAATATTAAAAGTGCAAATAAATATAGTCATAGAAGCATGAACAAAAATCAAAAGTAAACACCACATAAAGCACGTATACACATAGAGCATTTATACATGGAACACATAACTGTGTCAAACAGTCATACATAAGCAGTCAAGCAAATATATACACAAGTACTCCCGTGAAGCCAAAAGAGGGTCTACCAAAATACACTGTACAACCTAGGGCCCAAAAGTACCAAACAACTAGCCAAAAGCTTTTCCTAGGTGTCCCTTACACGGGATCAAAACAAGGCTCAAAACCCTAATCTAGTCCTCGACAGAGCCAACCGACTCCCCCCAGAGCTAGAGCTAGGGGCGCCACCCTGACCTGGAGCTCCGCCACCTGGAACTCCCCCTGGCGCATTGGCGCCAATCACTCCCTGGATGAGTGCCCCACACATCGATAATAGTGCCGGACCGGTCTCTCACCTCCCGGACTACTCGAGTAAGGCGGTCATTAACCACCTGCAGCTGCTCTCTCAGAGCGTTCGTCCTCTCCTGCTCCATGGCCACGTCCCCCTGGAGCTCTCCGATCCTATCGGCCTGCATCCGCATGAGGCCCCTAAGCCTAAGGGTCTCAGTACGCTCCCTGCGCGTCATCTAAGCCTCCGTCGCTCGGCAAGTACTGCCTCAACCACGTAGTCCGCGTAGGAGTAAAACTGGCAACGCCTACAGCAGCGGGTCCGGCTAGCTATATACCACAGCCGGATCGGACCTCCGGGTCTCACCTGATAGTCGATGACTCGGGGGCGCCTCTGAGGTGGCTCGCCTCCGCCTGCTCCACTGGTACCTGCTGCCATAACCTACAAAGATAGCAAAGGTTTATAGCTTAAACAATATATTCACACTTAATGGTGTCTAAACACAATCCCCAAGAGTTCTAAGAAACAGGTTTCAGGTTCGCCCAGGTTATTTCTAGCCTAGGCTCTGATACCACCTGTGACAGCCCCACCTTCCCCTAAGACGTACCAAAGGAGTTAGCGGACTGCCTGCCCAGCTCTCGCCAGGACTACTAAAACGGTCAAACCATAACTCAAGTCGTTCGGGAAACCATTAGCGCACTTAACCAAACCAAAAGTCATGAAACGGAAAACAAAAGTCAAAACATAAAGCGAATAGGGACTGCCACGTCACCATCCGCCAAGACCCCATTGAATACAAGCGAGCCAACAATCACTGAAAAGAATATATACAAGCCAAATATAATACATTGGACAGGAGTACACACCTATTACAAACCACGTTCGTATGTTTACAAGCCAAAAGAAAGCATTTAGATCAAATACAATTAGGGTTCCAACTATTGAGGAGCTATACAAAATTTCTCAACTAGCTCTACTCAACTCATTCTTCCAAATCAAAAGTCCAAAAGATAATTCCCTGTAAGGAAAACAAAATTAACGGAGTGAGCTTCGCCCAATGAGGTACTATCACGTAAATATACCAAAAGTACATAAACACGAGAATAATCAATCCAAATACGTACATCAAGTAAGCAAAAGCAATAACACCCAAGCATACGGGGTAAAAGGATACGGATGGCTCTCAAGAGCCCTTTTCCTCTTTTGCCATACTTGATCACATCTCATTGACCCTCCGTCAATGTATACTAGATAATCAGGACCGTAGACTCCTCTTTACTCCAATTATCCGTCCACCACTTTCCCTTACCGGGCCGAATACCAAACAGTACAGAATTGGTATTACTCGAGTATACCGGAATCAAGGGTCTCATACCCAAGGATTCCCAAATACAGTCCTCATGGTTTGTCAAATGTCCCGACCAAGTCCTTACTGGCTCGAGTCCATTGACTTCCAATGAGGGAGAGCTCAGAGTAAATAGTAAAGGTTCAGAGTTACAGTAAAGATTGGTATCCAATCGACACCAAATCAAGTCCAGTCAAGAGTATTCAAGTGATCTAATAAACAAACAAGTAGGTCTAATATAATAACCAGTCAAGGAGGCCAGAGAGTACGAGAGTGGTAAAGTACACCCCCGCCTCACCTAGTCCAAACAATCATCACAACTAGTCCAAATCACAAAATTCAAGTACAAGAAAGCCACGGAATAACAAATATGTGAGTAGTACACTCACCAAGTTCGACAAAGAAATTTCACAAGTTTTCGCCCGACGTGAGCCTTGGATCACCGGCACGCCCTATAATAATCAAGAAAGTGCAATTAAGACTCAAAC